AATTTATATTAATGATTTAATATTTAATAAAAATGATGAGAAGTTGATCTAGGAGTTAAAGAACGATGTAATGCAAGCTTATGAGATGAGGGATTTGGGTCTTTGACAATACTTTTCTCGAGAATTGAAATATCCCAATCAAATATGGGATTTTAATTTCTCAAAAAAAGTATGCAAAAAACATTCTTAAGAAGTTTGATATGTTTGGATGCAAATTGGTAACTACTCTTTTATAAATGAGAAGCTCAAGAAAAAGGATGGTGCTAAGAAGGCAAATGCAACATTATACATATTTCCAATTAGTAGCCTTTTGTATTTAACTATCACTAGACTCATTATAATGTTTGCTGTAATTTTATTTTCTTATTTCTTGTAAGAGCCAAGTTTTATTTAGTTTGGAGTTAGAAAAAGAGTACCAAGATACATACAGTGAACACTTGATGATGAAATTCTATATAAGGCTAGTGAAGGGTTAAATCTAATTGTTTTTTCAAACAATGATTAAACTAAATGTTTGGATGACATGAAAAGTTCAACTAGGTATTTTTTCTCTCTCTTGGTTCTAGTGTTTGGTCATAGATTTTAAAGAAGCAAAAGACTATGGCACAATCTATAGCAAACACAGAGTATGTGGCAACAAAAAAAGCAACTTCACAAGATATATGGTACAAATAATTCTTAAAGACATTGGAGAAAAGTAAGAAGAATATATTATATTATTCTACGATAATAACATATTTTTTATTATTGTTGTAAAATTAAGAAGAAAATTTTTTATTCTACAAAGCACATCGCCATTAAGCATCACTTTATAAGACAAGCCATGAAAAAAAGGTAAAGTTCAGACTTAAGATCGTAGGAGTTTCAAAGAACCCTCTCAAGCTAAAAGCTTAAGCTTGTTATGTGAGAACTCGAGAATGATATTATATTATTATGTAACATATTTATTCAAATGAAAGTATTTTAAATTTGAAATTTGAAGAAACTCATACCGTAGCGTCTTAACCTAATTTCTTATAAAAACTTCGTATAACTTAGCCAATTTAGTTCTAGAAAACTCAATTAATCACAAAATATCACTTAGGACCGTTAAAACCTCATATTAGAAAGATTAGGATTTTTTTTTTTTTGGGGGCAGCAGGTTACACGGCCTCTAACACGGTCGTGTACTTTCCCATGTAACTTAAAACTCATTTTCCCTTGAAAATAGAAGGTTACACGGCCTTCCACACGGGCGTGTATCTTCCCGTGTACATTTACGCCTAAAACAAGGGTTTTTCAGCCATAACACTTCAAAACCTAATCAACAACATTCTTTTCACTTATAACCCTTGGATATTCAATCAAAACCACTTTTTCTTTGTTCATAAACATGTCTCAAAACACCTCCAGGAGTTCATACTTACATAGTTACATATACAATTCAAAAATCTTTTAGGATGCATATGCTCGGCATAATGAGAGAGAGGAGAGGGAGATTGCCGACTCGACTCGTCACTTATGACGTGAATTGAACAACAAAAGATGACTTTAATTTTCACTTTTTGCTTCTTATTACCTAAAAAATAATTGCATTTTTAATAGATGCTACTCAATGAGAGAACAATAATCCATTGAAACCATAACATGCAATCACGTCATCCAAGTATCATCACATATAAATAATACAGGTAGTTCATATGACTCTAAGATTACATGCTTTTCTTTTTCTTATCGGTTATAACTTGGACATATCAAGTTTCGCCCCGAGTACTTGTAGCTTGTAAACTTGTACACATGTATTCGTTGAGCAGCTTTTATAACTTGTAGTTGACCCGTTGGGTCCTTGTAAACTTGTATTTACGAAACTTGGACAAGCCAGATCATAACCTTAACCTCTTAGTCTTGCATATATCATGAATGTTTCACATATAGCATATACAACATACATAGCTTACACCATGGTACATATCCATTATAACATCAATAAACATAACGTTTGCATCAACTAGCAAATGACACATCATTCACATCATAGTATCAATATCAATAAACATAATATTGTTATAACATCAATAAACACAACGTTTGCATCAACTAGCAAATGGCACATCATTCACATCATAGTATCAATATCAATAAATATAATATTAGCACTCAATAGCAATAACACATCATGGCACAACTATTATTATTCAACTCACAAAAATGACGTCTTTGTCGTTTATCAATGCGTCGCGTCTCGCACCTCACGCTCCTCGGCGTCTATAAACACATACACATATACTTTTATAAGTCATTTTATCATGATCAAACTTATAAATATGCTTAAGGTACAAAATATGACTTTAGGGTTAACTTATTTCTTTATGGTTACTTGACCCCTTTTCACTCTTTCTACCATAAGTCCCAAAATACAGATTCAAATGATGCAATTCTAGTTTCACATGAAACTAAACTCATAGAGCTCTAACATATCCAAAAATCAAGTCTAGGTACGAAATACACAACTCATGGTGATTTTCTAAAAATCAGAGTTGCTGCCATTTCTTTATGGGTACTTGACCCCTTCATAGTTCACACTCTTTGTACTATAAATCCTAAAATACGAAGTAAAATGATAAAATTCTAGTTTCATATGAAACTAGACTCAAAGGGATCTAACATATCCATAAATCAGCCCAATATTCCATATACATGATTTATTCTAGATTTTCAAACTCGTAACTAGTTTTCAGCACCCTTATTACCAAGAAGTCTCCAAACAAACAACAATAAATCTAGATTGGGACATGATCAAGACCTAATTCTTTTTTAAAAAGAACTAGACATATCAATATAAAACATATCCAAAAATCAGGTCGAAATACTCAACACCCAAAGAATACCATATTTTTAAAATTTACACACTAATCTGCCAGCATCAGATCACCTAGAACAACATGTGTTCAAACCATCATAACCCGAAATATAAATCACTAAATACAAAACCCTTTCATAGAGAGCTAGATAAGACACAAACCAACAAATTGTATTCTTGCAACTTATTCCAGATCTGACCCTAAAGTCTCGAAATCAAGAGTGCAAAACAGAGCTGGGGATGAACTTACCTAGATTTCCAGCTTGATCTTCCGAATTTGACAAAGAAATGGGTTTTTCCTCTCTTTCTCTCTCTCAAAATGGGAAAACATATTAGATAAGAATAGATAATGATCAGGTAAGTAATCTTGATAAGGTTGTGAAGATATTTTGGCAAAGTTTGTTTTGGTCCCTCAAGTTTTGGCTTGTTTTTATTCTAGTCCCCCAACTTAGATTACATTCAATTGAGCCCATAATTCTTCCTATTATTCAAAATAATTATTATCCAATACCTCACTAACATGTCATATGCAGGTATAATTATATGCATGTAATTCCTAAGTATGCGTGTATGCATGAACAAGTGTATGTTTTTGGGACGAGGTTATTACACATACTACCTTGTACTTAATTCTTTTTAATTAATTAGTAGAGAAAGTGATGGTAGGATTCAAATTCTTGATCATTAGATTAATAAGACTTTGATACCATATCAAAAAATCATGTCAATTCAAAAGTTTAAACTTGTTAGATAAGACTATGAATAACATTATATTACTCTCTAACAAAAAGTGAGTAGCTTGCAAATATTTTGACCAACTATTTCAAAGAGCTCATTGGAGTTGTAAAGAAAGTGCATTAAGAGAGAGTTGAGTTTTAATGCATTGTTAAGCATTCCAAGACATTTACTGCTTTAGACATATAATTACATTAGTTGTATATTTTCTATGTTTGTATGTTTTGTGCAGGTATATTTTTTCGGTGTGTGTATGTTTTTTTTTTTTTTTTTTTTTTTTTTGGCTTTAGAATTGACTCTAGAAATAACTTATGTATTTTAATTAAATATGTTATCTGGTTTATGAATGATAGCAGAAGAAAAAATTATGTAGAAAAAATTTTCTTCTCTTTGTACTTTTGAACTCTGACTATAACTCAGTAATCTTTTATTTTTCTTTCTCCGGCTGACAGAAGGGACTACCTCCTCGTGAATTTCCATCATGATGATTGCCTTGAAACTTTATATATATTAATTTGGTAAATCAAGAAATATAGATACATTGTAGTTTGTATCAAACGTAGCCTATGTGATAGTGTTACATAAATATTGAAGAACATTGGCGGTGCCTGGTGATCAGTGAATGATGCAAAGACAAGTTCCAAATGTGAAGCTTGGAGACAATATAACAAGTCTCGAGAAGAATGGTTGGTTTGGATTTTATTTGAGTAGGCGAGTGGAAGAAACCGGCCATGGTGAGATGAGTACATTATTCCTTCGCGCATAAGGCAAATCCGTTAGTTTATATAGTGAGGTAAATATAAAATAGACGAACAAAATTGTCTCCCGTATGTAATAATCGACTGTCAATTTTATTTTATTTATTTATTTTGCAAATTTTGACGAAGGAATCGAAGAGGTGATTTTAGTTTTTGTATGCGTGACGCAATGGATGCAAGCTTATCACATGCATGAGAGCCAAATGTATTTTTTGTGCTAGCTCATGCCAATTCCATCTTTAAGCTATTGTATAAGGTTGCAGATAAGCTGACCTCAACCTTCGTTTACTCTCACATGATCTATATATGGGAATTTGTAGGCCCATTAAAGAGCATTGCGTGCTGGTACATCGACTGTTACGAATTTGAACTAGATGACAATTGATAAGTGATGCCATAACAGCAACGTGTAAGGCAGGATCAGCTGTAGCCCTACGGTTCAACGAGCGGCAACCTATGATGAATGGAGAAGGAAACGATAAGCATGAAGAAAAAAGTATAGGCAGATACGCAATTACAAAATATCTATATATATATATATATATATATATGTTAGTCCTGAATTTACTGATTGGTATAAGCATCGCCTGCACAATGAATACAATTTGCTACATCCAGGAACTAAAAATTAATTAACGTAATTGAACTTGCAATGGAAAAACTAAGATATGAAACAAGGATTTGACACAATTTACTCCAAAGTTATTTCTTCCCAGTTGCTCATGTCTACCCAAGAAGTAAGACTGTTCAAAAATGGAGAGGGACATGTAAGTTTTTTAGTATCAATCCTTAAGAGAAACAGGTCTATATAGGTTGCTTTGAAATGAGTTGCACACATCCCTACTATCACATTGTATGTATGAGTTGGGTGGTGTTGGAACTGACTTTAAACCGATAATATTAGTTTCATTGACTTTATCATCCAATTCTTTTTAAATCAATGCCATTTTAGTGCATAAAATATGCACATTCGACTTACATTATTACAATAAATTATCAAAAACATCAATCTAACCCTAACGCGTTATTCCATCATCAAATGAGTTTTAAATCTTTTGATTTTATCAATTTATCTCAAATGTAATTGACATTAGATAACGTCAATCCTTAATGAAAGAATAAAATTATAATTATGCAGAATATGAAGATATAAATTTATCATACTCATAAATATTAAAACTTCATTTTTTCATGTAATTTTAAAAAGAAAATATACCTTGATTTTCAAATAATTTTAAAAAAATATATATATCTTAATTAATATTTAAACTTTTGAATAAATACTGAGAAGCAAATAATAAATAAATAAAAAGTTTATTTCTCTTGATTTCTCTCTTAATGATGGATATCCTCCTTTTGTTTTTTAATTTTGTTTTTTTTTTTTTTCATTGAGAGATAAAGAGAGGACCAAACTCCTCCTTTTATAACCTTAATTTAAGTCTTCTATCAAGATTTTATCATGTCTCATTATTGATTGCATCTATCATCTTTAATTACTTGTATTATAATTAATTCAATACATGTATTATCAATGTAACATATATTATAATTACTACATATATCTTAATTAATTAGATACATTTTAAATATACATGTATTATAATCAATAATATATATCTTAATTAATCATATACATTTTAAATATTTTATATCATATGGCTCACAATTAATTTTATATTTAAAAAACATGCATCATGTCCGCAATGATTAATTTTACACGAAATCCATCAACCGTTAGTAATAATTAAATATTCCATCCAAGTGTGTGATGGTTGAGTGTCTCATTAAAAGCACCAAAATAAACTTTAATATTCTATATATAACGAATAACTTTAGTGCTAAATCTTAGTAATTTTTTTTAATATACAAGTCAATAAATCAGAGAAAAATACAAGGATAACTACGTACTAGAAAAAACTTTCTAAAAAAATCCTCTATCTAAAAACCCTATAAATTTACTTTTAAATCTCTTTATCAAACTACTCAATACTTAACCCCCTAATTTAACACCAGTTAATTAACTATTGAGTGTTTGGTAAGAAAAATATTGTTTTGAGTTTGAAAATTTTAAAAATAAATTGATGAATATATAATATTAATTATAATGCATGTATATTTAAAATATATCTAACTAATTAAGATACATGTAGTAATTATAATATATATTATTAATAATAATACATGTGTTTAATTAATTATGATACAAGTAACTGTGGCTACTAGATAGTAAAACTAAATCCTTAGTTGATGGTTGATAGAAAAAAATGAAAATTCCTAAAAGAAGATTTTTTTTAATATAATAAAAATAATAGCCAGAGGTTAATATCTCACCGGGTAAAGAAAGAATTTTTTTAATGTAATAAGAAAATAATGGGCAAAGGTTAATATGCCATCAGTTAAAGAACCTGAAAAAACGTTTTCTTTTCTTTCGATTGCAATAAGAAATATCTTGAACTTGATACATGTTATCGCTGTTTATTTCTTTAGGAGAAAGCCAAGAGTTAAACCGTTTTTTTTTAATTTTTTTTTTTAACTTTCTTCGTGTTTATTGGTGTGGATGTATTTGTTGTCTTACTCTGGCTATGTTTGTTTGGAGAGAAACAAGTTTCATAGGAAAATCAATTCTTGAAGAAGTTATTTTTCAGGAAATTATTTTTCAAAAACATATTTTCACGTCGTTTGGTAATTACATGAAAAAACCATTGAAAAATATATTTCGAGTGTTTGTTTGATATAAAAAATTATAATACAAAAAAATATGTGATTTTTATATTAACAAATTTTGAGAAAACTTCAAAAATACATATTCATGATTTCACAATATAAGATACATTTACAAAAATTTAATAAATTTTCATAAATACTAACTCTAAAATTTTAATTCAAAAAATAAATTTTATTTTTTTAACTATCAAACCAATTCATTAAAATTATTAGGGATAAAATAAAATCAATATTCACATTTAGTAAGAAAAGATTTTAAGTAATCCTAGCATTGTTATTATGGTAACTCAATTAAGAATTCTTTTTTTAAAAAAAATAGCACCGATAATTTAGTCCGAAAAATAGTTTCATAAATTATTAGTTATCATTTATAGATAATTATTCATTTGGTCTCAAAAGATTAATATTGGAATAATTTGTAATTATTATTCACTACAATTACCAACAAAATCTTACAATTAATTAAAATTATAAATTATTGATTTAATTACAAATGAATAGTATTGAAAAAATAATGTTTTTATTGATGAATTAATTAATTTTAATTTTTTTATAAAAAATTATAGTCTTGTAATAATCATTTTCAATCATTTAAGTATAGTTTAGGTGACGTTTGAAATAATAGTAAAAAAAGAGATAAATTATTGAAATATTTATTATAAAAATAATTTTAATGTGTAAAAATGATTTTTAAGAATATTTAATGTATCTATAAATAAAAAAATCAAATATTAGTAAAAATAGAGAAAAATAATTAAATAATTGATAAGGAATAATTAAAAATTAATTTGATATATTTTAATTAAAAAAAAGGTAGAGAAAAATTGTTAAAATATATCGAGAGAGAGAGAGAGAGAGGTAAGTAACGCGAGAGCGAGACAGCTCATGAGAAGGAAAATGTTTTCCTCTTTTGAAACTATAAAAATATTTTTTCAAAAATATTCTATAATTTTTCGTTGATTGAAAATCATTTTTCGTTAACTTTTTTTCTAAATGCAAAACAAATATTAAAAAATAGAAAACCAAACAAACACAGCCTCTGAATTCCATAAAGATCAGATCATATATATAAAGATAAATATCAATTAATTAATCATATCGTAGTCATTTGATGAAGAGGCAAATCCATAAATTTTGTAAATAATATTACAAAGGAAACAAGAGTGGAAATAAAGTTAAAAGTACTCATTTACATGGGATTAATTGTATAAAATGTCCTTCTACTCTTGATTTTTTTTTTCAATGTAATCCCTCTATTCTTATTTTTTTATGGCCTCCTTCTACTTTCTAACTTTCTTTTAATGTGACTTCTCTCATGGTTTTTTAGTCAATTTTTCAAGCAAACATGAGAGGTAATAAAAAAAATTAACACATGTATTGCCATATTAAATTAAATTTTTATATGGAAAAAAATCAAAAATTTTAACTAAAAAAATAGAAAAATAAAATAAAAAGAGTATAAAAATACATGAAAAAAAAAAAGAAGAAGAAAAAACTGACATTAGGAATTCAAATCCAGAATACAATCACACAATATAATCCTTATCATGAACCAACTCTTCAACTTCAACGAAATAAAATTAACCGAAGCACGAAGAAACTCAAATCCAGACAGTACAACGTACCTTGTTGGAATTTGAAATCAATTTTTACAGTGCCTTCATTTTTTCATTAATCCTGCTCCAACTCCTTTGCCTAAATACACCCCACAAAGTGCAAAACCCTTCAACTTCAACAACCAGAGGAGGATTCACTGGATTTGTAAAGATAGAATTAAGTAAAAACAAAGAAGAAGAAATAAAATACGCAGCGGATCAGAGGAGGATCAATAAGTGAAATATTGGTGGCTATCCCTTCAACTTCAGCAACTGGAGGAGGCTTCGGGTGATCTCCTCAACTACTTGGCTAGCACTTCCATTCTCTATCCTTTCTCTCTCCGCCTTTCCAACTTAACAAAGTAGCTATTATCTCTCTCTCCCTATCTCTTGTTTTTTGTAGTTGTATATTCTTGGTTATGCTTTTAAGTTGTAATAATAGGAGAGAAAAGACTGTTTGTCTTTGTGCGTGTGATTGGTGGTTTCTTTCTGTAATGGTTCTCGATCATATATACATATACTTGCTCTTCTCACGATAATAAAGTTATTGGTATTTTTCTTATGTTGGATTCTTCTTCAATTCAATGGAATACCAGTCATTAAACTTGGAATGTTTGACGTTTGGTTTTCCATAATCTTTTTCCTTCTGGATATGCTTCTTCTTTTTTTTTTCGGCAGTCCGAAGCTAAGAACCTGTGTGTATACGTGCCGACCAAAAGAGCTTAACTATGAGAGCGTCACGGAATTCAAGTGCTAATTCAGTTCCAGTTTCTCCTCTTGATTTTGAGTCCCTAGTGGAGCAGCTTTTGCAAATATTACAAACCCATCCACATTTACTCCCTGCAGCCATTGATGAGCAACGTAAAAACCTTCAAACTGATAGAGATGCCCATAAAAGAAGAGAGAAAGAATAATTTGTGTGTTTTCATATTTTAATTTTTTTTCATTTTTTCTCCTTTTTTTTTCAAATTTTTGCCATGTGAAAATTTAATCAACACTATAAGAAAATGGACAATTAAATCCGTCCTCTTTACCAACTTAATAGTGACCGAATAATGAAAAAAAAATTTATTAAAAATTAAAAATTACTCAAGTAATAATTACTCATGTAATAATTCACCTCTGCTCTTATCGTTATACCTTACGTAATCTTAGGGATAAGATTGGACTTTTCTTTATTTTATATTACACAATAAAGTAATTTAATTAACTCATCTCTCTAAATGATTTTAAAAACACAAACCAGAATTAAATATTTATTTTTTATTTAGATAATATAGTGATTATATTTATAACAGATCCAATTAACAATGTAAATGACTAAATTCTAAAAGATTAATATATTAAAATTTTCCATTTGTTAACATGCTAACGTGTTAAATGATTAAATAAGATTGTTCTGAGAGGACACATAGCCTCAATTAACGAATTAAAAATATATGTTATGACAAAAACCTCTTACTTTATGTTAAAAAATAATATAAACATATTTTAGGATTTTATTTAACAGTTTAATTTTTTGAATTGAGTTAATTTTTTTGATATGTTATCTCACCATTTTTATTTTTTAACACCATATGAATTTCAAATTTAAAGAACTTTCACTTGAAAGTTGGACAATAATATAAATTATATTTTAAAACCTCGTCTTGCGGTTTAAATTTTTTAATTGAGTTAATTCTTTAGCAGTCTCCTAATATATTTATTTTTGTTGTTTATTTACTTATGAAAACAATTTTTTTCTCTCTTTTAAGTAAGAATTTCAATTTTATTTGGCCTGATATTTTTTAGACGTCCAAAGCCAGCGTGGAACAACTTAAATGCATCAATAAAAAAGACTAAGATTCTTACATTTTGACGAAAATTTCAAGATTCCTTCACTGTTGCATTTTTAGTTTCTCGTAATTCAAAAATAGATCATCACAAACTGGTAGGTAAGAGAAACACAGCTCATGATTTTTAGCTCCTTTTCATTTCTTATATATCAACTCTTAATTCCTTAGTTTTAAGATTACAATCTATACTAAGAAGAGAAAATTTAAAGAAAAACTAAAAGAACTAAGGAAATGAACAGTTAATGAATAGGAATTTTTACTATTCATTTCCTCACATATTACTGTGTGGATGGAGATGGCATTCGTATAAATTTTTGGTTGTTTTTTTGACATTAATTTGTAAATTTTCCATTACCTTTTGTTTCTGTCCCTCATATTTGGTTTTAAACAATTGGTCTCCTGGCCTACTTCTGCACGGCCAGGAGAGCAGCTTGCATTGGGCCGTCTGTACGCCTATGCACTCAAGCTTGCTTTGGGCCTGCAGGAACACAGGCCTGTCTCTCTTTTTTTTCCTTATATTTTTTTTGTTTTTTTCCACAAATTTATGTTCAATTTTCTTTTTTATTATTATTATTGAATTGAGTACGAAAATTATGAAAAATCAATCATTAATTTTTTTTCCACACTAGCAATTATAAAATACATATGATATATTTTTAGATTTTAGAATGAAAATATATATTTCAAATTACATTATTCTTATTGTTTAAAATTGATTTCTTTAATTTACCATTTCTTATAAAAATTCTCGTCAAATTAATTTTTAAATTCATTGATTTTATTAAAAATTAAATATATATCTACACATATAGCACCAAGTATTTGCTATTATTTTTAATATTTTAAAATAATATGCCTTACATAATATTTTTGAAGAACCGCCTAATAATTCAACTAAAACTTTTTATACTAATATTATTCATTATTTTTTCAATATATATATATAATTTAATCTTCTCATCGATATTAAACAAAAATAAAAAATATTCTTTTGTTATTTTTTACATTAATTTTTATTTTATTTATTCGATGCAATAATATAAAAAAATTATTAAGACGTTTTTTTAATTTTATATTTAGATTATTATGGGTTTTTATTTAAGAAAGAACAAGTCGTGTGTTTTTTTTTTTTACTACAAAATTTATTAAAAACATAAACTAAATAAAACAGAATTTTGATTAAAAACTATAATATTATATAAAATTTTATCTTTTATTTTTAATTTAATATATTTTAGTTGACAAACGGTATAACACATGTTATTAAATTAAAATAAATATATTTAGTTCTATTTGTAGTATAGCGCAGAAAATCAACTAGTAAATAACTAATAAAAGATGACGATAACATATGAAAAATAAGAAATTGATAATAGAGGGCAACTAAATTTATATTTGACGAAAATTTCAAGATTCCTTCACTGCTGCATTTTTAGTTTCTCGCAATTCAAAATAGATCATCACAAACTAGTTGGTAAGAGAAACACAGCTCATGATTTTTAGCTCCCTTTCATTTCTTGTATATCAGCTCTTAATTTCTTACTTTTAAGATTACAATCTATACTAAGAAGAGAAAATAAACAACAGAGAAAGAGAGAAAACGAAGAGATGTTGCCGGGTAAGATTGAAATAAAGGATAGAATGGTAGGTCTAATTTTTATACCATTTTTTTTTCAATTTTTTTTTAATAATTTCAGTTTATTTTTTAAAATTTTTCAACGTGTCAATTTTATTTGACGTGTTATTTTATGTGGTGGTTTTACCTAACATGTCAGTCATCTAAGGAGCGATGTTAAGAAAATATAGAGTAGAGAAACCTGATAAATAAAAATCACATTAAAAAAATTCTAAAGAGTATAAAAATGAATCATGCTATTAGTCCTTTTACCAAATTCACTTCTAACTTAAAATTATTTTAGCTTACTTATCGTAAGTTATAAAAACAATTTTTAAATTACGATTCAAAGTTAAAAGTTATTTTCACACGTCATGCCAAACATACTCTAATTCAATGATTCAATGACATACCAAGCATACTCTAATTGGTGATTCAATGCGCTTCTTCTTTCCTTTTTTTATCAAAATAAGTATGAGTTTTATTATAAAAATTTCAAGGGATTGGCTAAGTAGTTATGGTGGTTTACTCTCTCTCTCTCTCATGTATAATTTCTTAAATTTCTATTAATTCATTTATTCTATATGAAAGATGTGTCTTTAAGATGATCTGGAGAGATAATTTAGTCTTAATTAATGTATAAATTATTTCAAAGATACTCCTTGATATCGAATAAAAAGAAAATTGATTATAAAAAAACTTATAATTTACAATATGCACGAATAGAAATTGATGGTATGATTGTATCTTTAAGGGTAAAAATTGAGTGTTCGTAGCAAGACTGAAATCATGCAAAATCCTTATCAATGAGCATGTAGCGTTATTGAAATGTAAATAAAATAAAAATGTTAGTGGAATGAAAGAAAAAAGAAAAGAAAAGAAAGAAAGTAGGAAAACGAAAAAGAATTACTTCTAATGAATTATTGTTAGAAAAGGATAATTAAAAGGATAGGCTCCAAAGTGAATTATACTTCTTAAAAATTAAAGAAAAGACAGCTTTAGCATAATTGGAAAACAAGTGCGTAAACAAGATTTGAATGGTAAAACCTTGATTAGTCTACAGTTTGTACCTTTTTTTAGCTTAACTTTGCTTTTTCCTCCTTTTGGTAAAGAGTATAATCATGGAGGCAGGCAGCAACTACTTTTAGAGAAAAAGCAGCTCAAAGCCACAAACATAATACAAAGGCCTTAAGAGGGCATGCAGGAGAGAAAAAGAAAAAGAAAAAAGTTTAATGGCAAATTTTATCTTCATTTTATTACATGTAATTTAACAATTTCGAATTCATAGTATTAAATTATATAATATAAACATCAAATTATTGGAGATTTGATAAATTTGATTCAAATTTACTAATTTTCGATCGTTATTTGAAATATCAAAATGACATCGTTTTGATATTTCGTTGTTAATTATATTTTTTAAAAACATTTTAAAAATATTTCTAACCCCCTAATTTAAATTTTTTTAAAAAAATCTTATAAAATATTATAAATATTTTATAAATATTTTTGACCTTCTAATTTTGAACTTTTAAAAAAAATTACAAAATATTATTGTAGAAAAACATAATTAACAACACACAATTTCAGTTCTTCAAAAATATTTTATAAATTAAAATGAACATAATTAAGGATTGCCCCCGTAATTTTATAAATTATAAAAAAATATTTTTTATAAAAATTAAAAATTAAGGGGTTAAAAATATTTATAAAATGCTTTTTATATAATTTGTAATATTTTATATGAAAAATATTTAAGATTAAGAGGTTAAAAATATTTTTATAATATTTTTAAAAAATAATTAATAACAAAATAGTAAAATGACGTCGTTTTAACATTTCAAATTATGGTCAACTAGATTGGTTGTTACGTCGTTTTAACATTTTAAATTACGATTAATTAAATTGATCATTAC